TTCATCATCAGATGAATCGCTTGAATCCGAAATCTTTACATTTGACCAGCGACGAGCTGATGCACCGCGCGATTGACTTTTCCTTTTATTTCCTCTAGGCATACCGAACTAACTTAGTGTAGCTGCACAAGATATTATCTTAAAGAAAGACGTATGTTATAAGTGCTTCTGCTTATACCATGGTTTTTCGAGGAAAGGTTTTCTGGGGACTTTCAGAGGGTTTCCAAAGATGTAAAAAAACTCGAAAAAATTTTTTTACTGAAAATTCGCATTACCTGCATCTTAAGTTAAATGTGTTATTACTGTACTTACCTAATCTTTAGTTTACCTCATCTTTTTATGCTATAGCAATATTATAAAGCACAGAAAACTAATGACGTCAATAGGATTATTTACTGAGAGAGCAAGGGACCAAGTGTATTAGGATGGTACTTAACATTGTTCAATCAATCGTACGTGACACATAAGAAAGTATTAATAACAGCATTATTATTGAGTAAATATTCGTGAAGAAAATTATTATTTTTTTCAGTTAGCTACCGAAAACTGCAAATATATGCTTTTGTAGAGTATAATATCCGGTGTCGAATGAGTTTAAAATATAGTCTTCAAACTTTATTTAAGTGCCTCCAAAAAAATAAAAATGAAAAGGTAGTTATATAAAATAATTGACGGTAAAATCAATTTAAATAACGGTCACATTTCATTTACAAAACATTTGCGACGGGGAAGAAATCATAGTCTACGAAAGCTAATTGCATGAATTGTACAATTTAAAAAGTACATTGACCATCGAAAAAACTTTCGGTCAAAAAAGAAACATGTAAATCTGATGAAAATCCATTTATTTAGGGTGAAAAGCTTCTTTTCTTAAGTCAATGTAATTTTTGTATCATGTTGATAGTACAAGGAAAAATCTATAATTATATAATTTTTAACTTAAACGATATCCATGTGCTTTAAATGGGCCACGTGTTTTTAAGGGTCTCGATTTTAATAAATCTGAATTTGCATTATAATTGTATAAAATATCATTACCACTATAATTACGATAAGTTTTATCAAATTGTAGTTTTGTTACTATTTTAATTACCAATGTTTTATTTGGATAAAAATTATATTTAAATGTTGTTGCTGTAATAGATCGTTCTCCGAAACCACCACAAACATAGGTACCGATATTAGTACTACCAACAGCATCAGCTTTTGCATTTTTATTAACTAATGTACCGAAATCAATTGAATTTATTGATGTATATTCACCTAATCTACCCAATGATCCAATAGAAGTATATTTTAAATTATTTTCAATTACAAATGTACCATAATAAACACCATAAACATGTTGAATACAGGAAGTATCATTAGCACCAGCAATATTTTGAACAAAACCAGTAATCAAAATCAAAATCTTTATTATTAATATGTACACCATTTCTAAAGAATAAAAATTATTGAGAACAGAACAACATTCTTATATTTTCATGCAAATTCAATTGAATTTATGGGATTCTGCTCTGTTTTGTAAGCAATTCTAGTAATTTCTGCTACAAAAATCTGATAACGTAATTTTGTCAAGAAAAAATGACGTATAATATTTCAGTTTTCGACGAGCACTAGAAACACGTATTTTCAGGTCAATAGACTTTAAAATGCAATCTAAAAAGTTTCCTTTCTCAAAACGTCAGGCATATGGAATTAGTGGAGATTTATGTTAAATATTGACCATAACCTTTTCTAGCTTTTGATGATACTGAACTATCTTTTTTTCCTGGATAATGATTAGAATTAATAGTACGTCTTGGCAGAAATCAAGTAAAAGATAAACAGGAGAGTAATTAGTTTGGAATCGTACAAGAGTTAGATCAATCGATCGTACTTGACGGTTAAGTATTGATCTGAGGATTTTGAACAAAATTGTTTGGTTTAAATTTTGAATATTTTAATTTTTCCTTCTATATTCTTGTGCAAATGTTGCTATTTAGTCATACTATTGTCCTGTTTTCTTGTAATCTTATAGAAAATCAGGTGATCAACTTTATAGAGCTTTTGCCTATTTTACGATAAAATGAAGAAATGATTCTAGAATTTGTTTATCTTCATTGATTTTGAAATAGTTTCAGACTTCTATTCTGCACTTCGTTTTAGTTTATGCATTCCAGTTAAAATATTTTTAAATTATTACTAAAAATTTAACTTTTTTAAAAATATCATATAATGCTGTTGATGATAAAGACGAAGGTGCAGAGAGAATGCAGAATAGACACATGTATTAATTGTTTCTTCTATTGTCTGTTTTTGTGACATTTACGTATAGAAATCAATAATTCTTTCTTCAGTCTCCGTTGTATTCACGTTGTTTGTCACTTTGCCTTGATTTTCCATAAAATAAAGTGTCCACGTTTACAGGGTTATGCATAAACTTTTGCTAGAAGAGGTACAGCTCCAACAACAAATGATATAAAAATGAATTATATACCAAATGAAAGCTCATCAAAAACGGGACTATCGAGTATAATTGGTAATCCATAGGTTGATTATGAGCTAGAGAATTAAGGAAGTTGCTAGCGGATGCGTCATAATGAATGGGCCCCTTGGTATTGTCTATTTTTCTCGTGTTCCTTCAGGATCCTAAGATTAGTGTTTTTTTTAAAAGATACACCACGAAATACTTTGCAAAATTATACCTAAACGTTAGTTTTAGAACTTTAGTCAAGAGAACAACGTAAATTATACGAAAGGCAGAAGACAAAAAAACTTCGTATTTTTGATATTTTTTTTCGACTTGAACTTTTTTCTTCTGCTATCATTTCCGTAAAAAGTGTAGTAAACGTGAGTACTCGATTCTTTTTGTACTTTTGAATACGCTCTTTCTCCTGGTCTTTAAAAGAAGTTTTTAAGGCAGATGTTGTGCTGAAGAACGAAGTTTCAAAAATGTCTCCCGTTTTAAACAATGTGCCCAAGCAAAATACGGAAAACACGATCGAAGTTTTGATTTTGCAGTTAGATACTGAAGAGCAATCACTGAAAAAGTGTTTACTGTTCAGAATAGAAAGATATTTACTTTACAGAAGTTTATTGCTAGCAAAAAATAGATTCAGACCTGTGAGCGGTGACTATATGACAGTGTTCGCATAAAGAGTTTTTGTCATAAAAATGATCGACAACTCGTCCTAGAATGTGTGAATTCAAGAACATCTTCACAGAGAGACATTCACCAGTTACGATTATAACTGATAATAACCGAAGATCGATTAAAAAGACCTTACGGTTAATCGAACAACTCAGTTAACCAGCTCTTAGTTGTATAACTTCAAGGTTTACCACATTAACGAGTTTCTAGCTACACTATCAATTGCTAATGTCTAGTAATTTCCGAGAAAAAGCTTTTACCAACGCTTTTTGTCCATTAACGTGAAAAAATTCTTTTTGTTTGAAATTTGCTAGAGACAATAGAATTAATTTAATTTTGTTTTTAATATCTAATGCCTCATTTTTTTGCCAGTTTCGCCACTCTTTTAAAAAAAATCTTCTTTAAAGAGTTTGGATTTGATTTGACTTTAATGAAGCAATAACTGAACATAACACTTTTCTAAAGAAAGCAATACCTAACCTTAAAAATTCGTTAACTCAAGAAGAAAAAGGTAATCAGACTCAAAATCTCTACAATAAACTAAAGAAGATCTAAAAAGCTAAAGAAAGGAAAAAATAATCACAAAATTTTTTTTAAAGATGGTGAATATTAAAACAATTGAAAAACTAAAGATTGAATTTACTTACGGTATTCTGTTGAAAACTTTTAATTTTATTTGATTTAGTATCAGTTCTTTTTGTTTTTGAAAATGACTATGCATTTTCTCATTGTATATATACATTGATTATTGCTGTCGTATAGATACAGGTGAAGCAGTGCAAACACGTGCCAGATGAGGTGATTTGAGAAGAAACGTTGCACATATGCTTTCGTTTTAGTATTGTTATACTTCTTTACAATATGGTAGTACGATCAGTCGACACTCTAGAGATGATCGGTACTAGAACGAAGTACTTTTCGATTTCCTAGAGTGGAAAATTTTCCACCCTCAGAGATTAGGTCACTCGTGTACAGTAAAATCTCTTCTACACTAAAGCAAAAGAACTGTCAGATTATTACTTTTCTTGTTTAATATCATTTTATTCAACTATTACATTTTCTCGACAAATCACACCGTACTACTAGCGTTTAAAGTTTTCTGACCTATTATCGAAAAATTCGAGTCTAATAAACTTTGAAGAAAATTTTCAATCTGACATCCATTTTTAAATTCACCGAATGGGACTGGAGAAAAAGTGTTTACATATCATCAAAAAGCCCTGGTCCCCCTCAATTTTACTACAATCATAGTAGACGATTGTGATATGAGAAACAGTCTCTTCGCACGCTTTATTTAGTAATATTCACACACTTTAATCATTCTTCAATCTTAATACGATTTGTCAGAATTTATTAGGAACAAAAATGATTAGATCTTATTGATACTCATACGAAATTTTCACCGAATCCTAAAATGTCCTCATGAGATCCTATTGCATCTTCTTGATATGAAAATATGGAATTTGAGTTGACTGGTATTTTCAACCTAAGAAGTCTAATTTCATGTTTGACTTTTACACATATGGAGAATTTTGAAACAAGAAAGCTTCAATCTTTCATACTACATTCAAAATATCATAAAATAAATGACGAAGCTAATGACAAAAAGTTACATTGAAAAATATTGTGCTTCTCCACGTCTATTGCTTTTTACTATAAATTACGTTATTTTTTTATGATTTACGAAGAACAACAAAGTAATTATGACAATGATATACAAAGAAAAGAAAAGAATCTATCATAATATAATCCTAACAAGAATAAAAATCGTACTTGATCTATCAACCGAATAATATAAATATTTGACAAAGAGAAAAAAACTACCAATCATAAGTACATTTTGTTGTTCTATAGAAAACTTGTGTCCATCAATTGTATCACATTTCTTCTACGTGTTTTCATTTGTCATTTTGAGTACTGTTTTTGTCGATCGATGTCCTTCATATTTTATATTCAGATACAAAACCATTTAGAAAATAACATAACTCAATGATGAAAAAGATATTAAAATTTCCAACCAACTTTAAATTATTTTGAAACGAATAACAGTTAAAGAAATCTTTCTGTAGTTTATAGTCGAGGTTCTCTTGCAGAAAAACACGTTTTGACATTCTGTCCATTTTACCGTTGTATCCTATCAAATTCATTCATCTTCCTATCAAGAAGATGCGATAGGATCTTATGACGACATTTTAGGCTTCGGTGAAAACTGAGTTTAATTATCAATAAGAGCTAATCATTTTGGTTCCTAATAAGTTCTGACAAATAGTATCAAGGTTAAAGGATGACCAAAGTGTATGAACATTACTAAATAGAATATGCTAATAGAATATTCTTTTATGTTGTGACAATATTTCAATCTATTATGGTCATTATCAAGTCAGTACAAATAACGAGGAAGTGTCATGAAATCCGGATTATTAAAATCCTTTTTTTAACTCACCCGAAAACTATTCATCCAGAATCCAACATGTCCAGATGAATCATTTGCCGGACATGTTGGAATCCGGATGATTTATTTCTAGATGAATTTCCTCGATCAACTCCGGCAGCTTCTTAAAAAACCTCTCAAGTCCGGGAGAAAAATTCTAGATGAGTTTGTCACTTATAATGAAAAACAATGCAAGTCCGCATGTCATAGCGTATAATAGTAATACTAGTAGTTCCATTATTAAAGTACATTTGGAGTGACTAATATACAACTGATTAACAATCGGACTTGCATTGCTTTTTATAATAAGTGAAAAACTCTTACAGAATATTTTTTACCGAAGTTAGTCGGGGGAAATTTATCCGGAAATTTTACGAACTTTTAAGTCTGGATGAAATTACATCCGGCTGGAGCTGCACGGGCGAATAGGATTTCCGGATAAAAAGTCTTCCCGGACTTAAAAACATCCGGATTTTAAAAATCTGGATTTCATGACACTTCCTGCAAATAACTGTAACAGAAAATGAAAAGTTAAAAATTGAAATGGAGACAAGAAAACACACGCATTGGCTATATCACTGTCTAGCAGAAATTGAGTGGAAGTCTTGACAATAATCTTGACAATACCCATGAGGTTTTTTTCGATAAAATATCGCAATTAGAGGTGATATTTTGTATCTTATATCTCGATAGGTCTTAACTCTATCGAGACGCCACGTTAAACCGCTACGAAAAAATTTATCGCGATATACCATGCGGAATGAAGTTATCGGTTTCTGTCCCCGATGAAATTTTTATCGAAATAAAGATCTCCATTATTGCGATAAAGCATCTTATCGAGATAATAATCTGTCGGGATGGAAAGCGAAACCCTTATATCGCGCGATATGTCACGATAAAGTTCCGTGTGACGGTCTAACGTGGCGTCTCGATAGATTTAATTCGTGTCGAGATATAAAAACTGTCGAGGACTGTGACGATTACTAATTTTATCGTTATATAGTCCGATACCGTGGTCATACTGCAATGTATCCTACATAATAGAAAATTCTATCGCTGTTTTACAAGACGCAATGTTGTGGAAAACAGTACGATTATTGACTTTTCGATCAAGCTGAAGGCAGATATGGCGACAGATGTTAGAATAGCTGAAATAGACTGCTTATTACCTTAAGCATCAAACTTGACGGATCACATCTTACCGGTCTTATCTTCGGGATGTGACCCGTTGAAGTCATAATGTAAGTCGTCGTTGAATAAACAAAATATATCTGAAAGTAAGCAATAATCAAAAGTAACACTGTAAACAAAGAAAGTAAACAGAAAATCTGAGTTTTTTCAAAGAAAAACATCACTAAAGGACTTCTAAATGCACTTCGCGCTGAAAAGATCAAGGAGTTTCGTTCCGTACTGGCTGTACGAAACTCGACTGATCTTTTTCAGTACAGTATATAAAAAAGGAACTTTATAGAAAACCAGCTGAAGAAAATAAGTAAAAATTGCAAGTCCTTAAGTTATTGTTATCATTTGAAACGCATGATCCACGTAAAATCAATTCACTAAAATTTATTTCGATCGGCATAGCATCTGACAGACTTTAGGTTTGAAGCGTTGTCTGAGGAAGAATATTCTCTTTCGATTTTAAAACTGTCGCGAAGAAAATAGTGCATCTTCGAGACAAAAAAATAACTCGCTTCTGCTTCAAAAAATTGCTGTGTACGTACCAATGACAACAGTCAAATAGTTAGGCTGGTTCGATTAACTACAACAAAACAAAATAAACACGGGCAGAAAACACTCTTTGAGTGTTATTGTGTTATTCATCACTCGAAAGAAGTGAATGAAACGCTCTTTGCGCCCTTGCAAAAAGTGAAGAAATGACTACTTGAATTGTATTGATCTATACACTAGTCGATGTTCTTGTGGGTATTCTTGCAAGATTCTTGTCTCTTGCCATTTCAGACAAGAATCTTCAATTTTGTCTTGACAGATCAGACAAGATTCTTCTTTTAATTTTTTATTGAGTTTTCATTTTTTTCCGTTAAAGATTCTTGTCTGAAATGGCAAGAGTCGTTGACGACAAAATCACCAATTTGTTTTGTCAATTCCCGTGCTATATATAAATTACATAATATAGTTCAATACTATACATAGATATTTGTAAAAATTCCTTTAAGTCTCATAAGATTATTGCCGGGAGACAATGGAGTCTTTATATGTGCCTGTATTGGCATCAGAGCGTCCAGCTCCTATATATATGAAAAGAAAAGATGAAAAAATGGATTATATGTGCATTCTTTTTGTTTACAGGATTCTTTTAAGAATTACAAGACAAGATTCTTGCAAGAAAAATGAGTCAAGAATCTTGCAGAAAATCGCGTTCTTGTCAATTCAGACAAGAATCCGTCTCGCGATTCTTGTATGAACTCACAAGAAAGCGATTTTCTGCAAGATTCTTGTGATAAAATACATGTAAAATATTTTACAAGATACTTGTCTGAAATGCCAAGAAACAAGAACCTTGCGAGAATACTCACAAGAACGGCGACTAGTGTATCTCTTATATACGTTAAAAGAGAACGAAGGCTAAACACAGTGGACGATAATATACCCACACTGTCTATCTATTTTTCTTCTTACGACCGATAGACGAAATAAAAAAAAATATTATACAGACGAGGAAGACGAAAATATGAAGTCAGTGTATTTGTAACCTAGTTTCGTGTATTTAATGGAAATTTATATTCTCGCTTTCTTACTGTTTCAAGAAACAGCCTAAACCAAGTCTGCGGAAGTTAAAGAATGATTAGTTTGAAAAATTTTCCTCTCTGGTGTGCGAAGGAAAAACCTTGCTGTAATCTTCATCAACGAAGAATTAACGTGCTTCAACGTATGAAATAAGATATCCCGTTAAAACGCGCTATTTGAACCATTTAATGCCGTACCGGACACAATCTGTTAGCGCGCCACAACAGTATAAAATTTGTGCTCCGTCACAACGCTTGACACTTTTATCGATGAATTGTATCCCTTTATCACTGTAAAAGTATCGGGAAATAATTTATTTGCCACGCATCGAGATACAGAAGAATATTGCGATAAATACTGCCTTTGTTGTCTAAAAATAAACTTATCTAGCTTTATTGAGCTAAAATATATTTGCAATGTTCTCGAGATAATAAGTTTCATCGCGATGCATATTAGCACTACCGCAATGCTTTATTTTTCCTCGATAAACACCAGAGTTATCGCAGAAAGCTTCTTTATCGGAGCAGTAATTTATCTCGGTAGAGACCGTGATGCAGTATTTTGCCGTGACAATTCTAATGTTTAGCGCGATATTTTCTTGAATAGGTAAAATTATTGCCTCTAATCGAGATATTTTATAGAAAAAAAACCTCATGGGTAGTACAAATATTTGTTAATAACACTAGCCAACACCTACTGCACTCTTTGGATGCCGTCCACTATCTACACCTCAGGATAGATATACAATGGAACTGATCGATCTGTTCCATTTAACATAGGATCAGTCGCCCTTGTGGCTAACGACTCTATCAATAAAAGTCTGTATTTGTGTCTTTCAAGGAGAAAAATTCGAACATCTTCGGATGTAAACTTCTGTTCAGTGTCTTTGAAATGTCTTCCAATAGTAGATATTGATTAACCCTCGTTTCACCACCTGGGGTACGAGCGGACCCCAGATCGAATATTATGCTTCTCTTTCCTCAACAGTAATAGATCAACCCCTCATCTTCTAGATATGCACTAACGACAGTCAGACGGATATATCGAATATATTATTGCCTTCGATTCTGACATCGTCAATATGATAAAAAGCTAGAAGTACGCACCAACGTGTTTTCATCATTTGGGGTCCACGCGGACCCCAGAGAGTAGAACTAATTACACATTTTTATTGTTAAGATATCGTTTCAATTCAGTATTTCATGCATTCGGCCAGCTCTAGAGAATATTCTAGAAGGTTCTACCTTATGTTATAAGTTTCTGAAATTGAATTGAACTTGACCTTTGTGTCATTCATTATATTAGAATGTTTTGGAATATTCCCTATCATTATAGAATGTATAGTTGAACTATATAAGGGCAGTTGAAATTGCCGAATAATTTTCAATTTGAATCCAAACTAGTCTTACACATTTTCACTCAACATAATCCTTATTGCATTGAACAAGTTGAGAATTCGAGCAATGGGTTCAAAGAGAAGCTTTAGTGATTATTACGACGAAAGCTAAGATGAAGATCGTTCAGTTCTCGACGATAATTCTGGCGACGATAACACATGAAGAAAATTCAGAACTGCCGGATGGACTGGAAGACGGCTCGGAGGACTCTGAAGCCGGTGCAACGGATGAAGATGATTGGCAAGAAGAAACTGATGTCAGTCTGGTGGAAAGCGACAGTGATCAGGAACCGCCAAGACGTCGTCCGAAGCTCGATCAGCGATCAGAGTCGGAAGTATTTTTGTGAAAATCTGGTCGACGGTGGAGTACATCCGAACCTCCGAAACGAAAAATACCACAAGCAAATATTCTGCGACAGTTACATGGTGTTGGGCGCTCAGCAACAAGGATGCGAACAGTGAAAGATGCTTTTCAACTCTTATTTACGGAAGAAATGATACTTATCATCGTCACAGAAACTAACAGAAGCGCAAGGAAGGCTGCTGAAGCATGGAATGAACAGAATCCCGACAAGAAATGGCAACGGAAGGATACTGATAGTGAGGAAATTTGGGTGTTTATTGGATTATTGATTCTTGCGGGCGTTCAAAGATCTCAAAAAGAGAATCTCCACGAATTATGGTCCATGAATAGTGGCCGATCAATATTTCGAGCGACAATGTCAAAGAATCGCATGGATAGTCTACTAAAATTCTGCCGATTCGACGATGCAGCTACACGAGATACACGAATGGAAGTAGACAAGCTGGCTCCAATTAGTGAATTTTGGGCAATGTTTTTAGCACGACTACAGATCAGAGCTCCGTATGGACTCAAATTTTTGAGTCCAGTCCAGTCCGAGTCCATGAAATCCAAAAAATCTGAGTGGACTGGACTGGACTATGGACTCAGTCCAGTCCATACGGAGCTCTGCTACAGATATGCTACATTCCAGGTGGTTCAATGACAGTCGATGAATAACTTATAGCTACTCGTGGCCGTTGTAGATTTCGTCAGTACATGCGCAATAAGCCTGCGAAATATGGAATAAAGGTATTCTGGTGTTGTGACTCAAACACTTCATATCCGTTGAAAGGTGAAGTTTATGTTGGACGTCAATCTGGAACGGCCACCCTCGCGAACAAGAATGGCGTCAAAAAGCTAGTCACAAAAAAAGATTAGTCACACCCTGGATCAACAAAGGTCGAAGCGTCACTGCGGATAATTACTTTACAAGCGCTGAACTTGCCGAAAATTCACTTGAACTTCAAACTGCTTTAGTCGGGACAATTCGGAAAAACAAACCCGAAATTCCTCGAGAACTGCAACCCAATCGTCAACGTCCGGAAAACTCATCGACATTCTGCTTTGATGGGCTGCTCACACTAGTGAGCTATGTGCCGAAGAAGAATAAAGCGGTGATTCTTCTTTCATCGATGCACCACAAAACGACAGTCAGTGAAGAAACACACAAGAAGCCGGAAATAATTTTGTATTACAACGAGACAAAAGGTGGTGTTGATCGTATGGATCAAATGGTTCAAACTTATTCTTGTAAACGAAAATTAATCGGTGGCCGATGAGTTTCTTTTTCAACGTGATTGATGTGGCTGGTATTGCAGCTTATGTTCTATGGATGACTAAAAATACTCAATGGAACGACACCAAGCCATACCGTCGACGATTGTTCCTTCAACAACTTGGCCGCAGCCTTGTTGATCTACATTTGGATCAACGTTGTCAGAATCCGTATGCAGTTCAGCAAAACGTTCGACTGGCTATGCAGAGCCTAGGACTTTCAATTACTAGTCCAATAACCACTCGAACTGGAGTGAGTGGAAAGCAACGATGTCATCTTTGCTCGAGAGTGCGCGATAGAAAAGTTGCTACACGATGTTCTACCTGTCATTTTCCTTGCTGTCGTGATCATCATAAAATCATTTGTAATTCTTGTTTCTAATCATTTGATAGAGATAAGAAAAAATAAGATGAAATAAAAAAGTCACGAGATTATAGTACGGAAAGATGGTGTTCTCTGGAATCTATTTCAAATAATCTTCTACAAATATTACTCATATTTACTGCACAGATTGATGAAAAATTTTTCTCTTTATACTTGAAAATCGAGCTGGGAAACTCGAGTAAAAGTTTAGTAGTCAATAGGTGGTGAAATGAGGGTTAACAGTTATCTGTAACTTTACAACGTGTGTCAATAATACCACTTAAGGTACCAAAATCCATATCTTTCAGGGGAGGTATTTTGTATTTTGGTAGCTACTGATCTAGATGACAATTTGACAACTTTGTCACTATAACTATGAATCAATATCCGCTATTGGGAGCCATAAGGGCTATTGATCCTGTATTAAATGGAACAGATCGATCAGTTCCATTGTATATCAATCCAGCATTGTGGGTACACTAGAATATATTCTGCGAAGGTCACTTTAGGAAATAACTTCACTAAACTGTGTGTTAGTCTTTACAGAAAATAAAAGCATTTAATTTAAACAAATCCCAGTCCACTTGGTTTGAATATGGAAGTACTACTTTATAAAGAAATATTGACACAAGTACGATAGTTTCTTAAGCTAGTTTTCGAAATATGTGTTAGCCTTTCTTTTTAATAAACTGCTGATGCAAAATGGTAAGAAATATATTTTCCAAGCAGATCAGGAGCAATTTTAGAGAGTCAGAAGTATCGGGAAGTGAAAGAGAAAGCATTTCCCTTAGACATAAAATTCATAATTCTGTTAGACTTTTTCATAAAAGTATGAGTCCTATCTATCAGCAAAATATCGGCCAAAACGGCATCAGGCAGTTAGCCAAGTTCCCTCATAAGTAGGACGGCACACGAACTACGAAGATCAGCCGTTTCACGGGAAAGTAGAATTGGCAGAAAAATTGTGGAGCATCAATCTGTCTTTTTATTATGAATTGAGAACAAATCATATTTGTCGTAATCAAAATTTTGCATGATGAGTCGATATGACCATGTAAAATTAGGCCATATCGCTGTATTATTACCCATTTTATCCTGATACCACGATTTACATCCACCTGTTTGCCATATCGTTTTCTTCAGTTTAGCTTGTAAACGATCATTGTGTTGTTGACATGCTTGTTGCTTTACTAAAGATTTATCAAAATGATTTTGTTCCATTATTTGATTGCTTCTAAAATATATGTAAATTGACTTTCAATCATTAATAATATCGAATTATGTCCTATCCCACTGTTAGGACCCAAGATCAAAAATAAATTTGGAAAATTTGGTGCAGTAACACCTTTATATACTTGTGGTGAATCTCGCTACTGTTCTTCAGCTGTCTTTCCTCCTATACCCCGAACATTGATTGGAACTTCTTGTACCTGATATCCTGTACTCCATATAATTGCGTCCAATTCATATTCGGTACCATCAGAAATTACTATAGAGTGATCGATCACTGACCCGTTTTATGCCATCAGTGACCAGTTGGACATTTGGCTTTTGAAGAGTTGAACACCAATTATTGCTTAACAGTACACGTTTACATCCTAACTGCCATGTTGGTGTCAATTTTTTTCTTAATTCCACGTCTTTCACTTGCGTCGAAATAAAAAATTGTGCCAATTGTTGGTTGAAGCAAACGACAGTACTAATGATTCATGCATCCAATAAATCACACTTCGTATAGCTTTTTGTATCAAAGGTATCCGCTCAAATAACCACTTTTCAAAATCCGTAACTTTTCGATCCATTTTCGGTACTATCCATGGTGGTGTACGTTGAAATACGTACAACTGTTTAACATGTTTTTGAATTTTTGGCACAAGTTGAACAGCACTTGCACCTGTACCAATAACAGCGACACGTTTCTCAGTAAAATCATACGCAGTATTCCATTCGGCTGAATGAAACATATCACCTTTGAACTGATCAACACCACTGATATTTGTAGGAAATTGGGCATTAGCCAGTGGGCCCTTAGCACTCACTAAAAGTCGACTGTAAAAAGATTGTCCGGAGTTAATCGTTACTTTCCATTGATGATGATCATCTAACCATTCAGTTGCTGTTACGTTTGTGTTAAATCGTATTTTTTCACGTAAATTATACTTGTCAGTTAAGTATTCTAAATACTTCCAAATATCTGGTTGTCGGCTAAAGAAATGATTCCATTTTGGATACGGTTCAAATGAAAATGAATATAAATTTGACGATACATCAGCCATTTATTAATTTATTATGTCATCTTGTAAATAGTTTCATGTCCAACGTCGAAACTAACATTTTCAAACGGAATTTTGATTGCAAACATGCTCCTCAATAAGAAATTTAGTTTTTGAATGTTTTATACATGTGCACCCTGAAAAGAAAACTATGTGCTAAATGCTCTTGTTGTCATTCTCCTTTGAAAACACATACCCGGATATTTATTATCGTGCCAGGTTCCTCCAACATTTTGTCTTCTCTCATATAGAATGTACTCACTCATATTCAACTGTTTTAATTTAATGGCTAACCCTAATCCACTAAATCCAGCACCGACAATAATTACACAGTAGGGTTTTTCATGTGTACCATCACCTTGTCCATGATTCCATTTAATTTCTGGCTTATGAAATGGATTTTTTAAGAAATTAATTAGTTCGGTACAGAGAAAGTAAATAAAATGACAAATTAAACCAAGTATAATGAATAATGAACAGATGAAAGCAGCACCCAAAACAAGAAAAAATACTTTCCATAGTGGTACATCATTGTTTGAGCTCGAAACTGGAGACGGAGCGGTCACCATTGTAAAGCTAGAAATAAACACATAAACACACAACATTTGAAGCGAGAAAACGCTCTATCTAGCAATCGGTTTAAGGACCTTTTTCTGAACACACAGATTTGTAGAGCGAACGTTTCTGATTAAAATAAGACCTCGCATAACTCTATATGACCTTGCATCAAAAAGTTACAGGCATTTTCCTAGAAGTTCTAAAATTGAGCATTTTATACAGCGTTTAATACCGCTTTTTCTCTACTTGGAAGTTATACCTGAAGTGGGTCCCAAGATTTTTAATAGCGGTTCGTCGTAGAGAGTTCATTCTTTTTTTTGTTTAGAATATCACATGCCGTTTGTATATACAGGTCATATAGACCTGTACGACCTCAGTCTATGTGACCTAAAAACTCTATTTAGGCTGTACAACAAAACACTTGGTTATTTGTAACATGTTTTGAGTAGTTGCTGAGTTATTCAATACAAAAAACGACGCCATAATGATCAAGAGCCAACGTGTGTTATAAAAATGAACCTTGATATTAAAAAATTGTATAATTATTTTAACACGCGCATCATATAGAAAAGTGATATGAAAGCTTGAATAAGTTGAATAATAACTTCATAGTACTAGATCGTAATTGAGGGAGTGTATAAACTTTATGTCATTAAGTAGCAGAAATAAAATTGCTGTGCGCTCATGTTGAGTTCAGTGTCTAACTGAACCTAAGGTGAATGGCCTAGATTGATTGCATGAGCTAGATAAATATCATGTTCCCGAAAAGAAATCCGGGTAAAACACGGTGAAATCAACGCCTCAGCCGCTTGAAAAAAACTTCAGAGCTTTCGTGACCTTGAAACCTGTGTTTTCCAGTGTTCTTCGATCCAGAAAGTTGTTATCTTGCACAAGAAATGGGAAATGTTCTATGTCAAAACTTGATCACATCATGTTCTCGAAGAAAAGTCCGAGTAAAACATGGTGTAACCAACTCCAAAAAACTTATAGATGATCTTTCTTGCAGCTAGTAGTTGCACTTTCCGAGTAACGGGCTTGACTTACTTGAAATCATGCGCGTAATTGATTTAGACGGTAAAATATTTGGGGTTGAGAGAACTGAAAATGAGTTCTTCAATATTTTAGTTCTTTATGCGGGATCTTTGATATTAACCGAACTCGGAGCGAGAAGCCCAGTCGTCTCCTCTTTGCTTGTTGGCAGAGCGTGTTTATAGTTTCCCTTTTTCGATATTTATATCTTTTATTATTTTTTTTGTTACTTTCTTTCTCTTTTGCTTGAATCATCATTCTAGATCGCGGACCTTTGACGATTCTCGATTTCTGTGAATAAAATAAATTAAATTAATAACTCTGTGAAGAACTGTATTATTGCAAGATGTTTTACCCGGTTTTTTCTTCGGGAACATCATTCAAAAAGGTGATGATTCGAAAAAAATATATGTTCATACTAAGTTTGAGGCTTATCTATTATTTAGCAAGTTGGTGGCAGAACAAAACTTTTCATTTTTCGGTCATGATTTCCACTAAATTAACTTTTTCAAGAAACTTGATTACATCATGTTCTCGAAGAAAAGTCTGAGTAAAACATGATGCAACCATGCTTTAAAAAACGAATTTTTAAAGCATTGGAAAACGCAAAAGATACGGTGATTTTCTTGAAACACACGCTTAGTTTCTCTGAAATATGCGCGTATCTCGAATTAGCCGTCCCATAAAGAAATTCAGCTGATTAGTATGATTATTTTTCATGCAAGGCGCCTTTTCTATGATTTACGCGCACTTAATTTTAATTAGTGCAGAAAGCGACTTCCTTCATCTGTTTTGCGCTAATTCTACGAGCTGGGACATACCGAATTTAATTCTAATATTTTCAGTTCAAGAAATAGTGTAGTTTCGATAAATTTTGTTACATATGATACACTATGTCTTGCATACTGTAACCATTGGTTCTTATGGCGCCAATGACAGCGTTGCTATGGCCCATAAGAATGAATTTCTCTATAAAGAGTCGAAAAAGTTCAAACAAAAAAGGGTTTCACCAAACTTTCACGATCACCAGAACATATAGCCTAGACTATATGGGTAAAAGGAAATCAATTAAAAACACGCGTCTCAGAAGTTGTTTTTTTTCATATGGTATACCGTGTTTTTCACATACACTTCAACTAGTAGTTAGAGACGGTCTAAGTAACTCAGATTGTATAAAACATTCGTTAACGAAAGTAGCAAAAATTGCTAAATTAAGTCATAATAGTGTGAAATTTTCCGAAAAGTTAGAAAACTTAAATATAAGTATACCTACTGCTGTTTCTACTAGATGGAACAGTCAGTACGATTGCGTATGTAAAATTCTAGAAATAGCAAATAATTCAACAAATAATTTAAATCAAATGTTAACAGATATAAACAGCAGTGATCTTCGTTTACTTCCAAAAGATTTAGCTATACTAAATGAGTTTGTTTCATTATTTGCACATTTTGCTGAAGCCACGATAAAAACTCAAGCTGATAAGTCACCTTCAATCAGTTTGGTTGCACCAAGCTCACTGGGTATTTACCTTGATCTTCAGAATGAATTGCAAAATAATTGTAATCACACATTAGCATTGTGTAAAGTCCTTTTAAATCCATTAAAATCTCGATTTGGCGGTTTACTGGAAAAATTGTATATAAATATCGATGACAGTATATTAAAAAGATCTACTTATGATCCTTATTCTGATAATATATTTTTAATTTCATCACTGCATGATGCAAAATTTAAGCTTAATTGGATAATTAATTCTTCTCTTCCTGAGTCAGATAAAGAAAATATTTGTGAAAATATTAAAAAATTAACTGCTGCTGCATCTGCATTAATGACAAATACTAATCATGATAATGCAAATGAAAATAATTCAGAGTGTGGATTAAGTAGTGTTATAACGCCAAATAATAATAAAAGAAAAGGTTTATTCTCATATTTTAAAACACCAAACGCTAAAAGAACTACTGTAGATTAATTTCACAAAGTACGGCAAATGAGGAAATAATATCTTTCTTGCATGAAGAAAGTGAGGAAAGCAATTTAATTTTAAATAAAAAAGAATCATGTCCATCTCTTAATCAATTAGCATCTAAATCATTATGTGTACCAGCAACATCACCACTGGTTGAGCGTGTTTTCTCACAAAGTGGATTTCTTATGAGACCACATAGAGCTAAAATGTCAAAAGATACGCTTTCACGTTTAACACTGTTAAAATATAATTTTAGTTTAATTTCATAACTGTTGTGAAATTAAAATATTTCGGCGTAATATTTTTTGTTTTTCATTATTTGTTTTTGTTGTTCATGTTCATGCTTCTGTTGTCATTAATATTTGATGTTTCAACTGCATTTTTCATAATGAAGCGCGCATTATTTGTACATTGTTTGGTCAGACTTGGACTTGGACTTCAAAATGGTCGGACTTGCCCATCTCTGTCCTCGGATAAAAAAACAACTCATGATACCACTAGGAATCCAATGAAAGCTAGTGGAGTCTAGCAGAACCCGCTGGAGCCGAGAAATCCGGTGGAACCGAGTGGAGCTGGATAGAGCTGTAAATTAAAACAAGCTCTGACTGCGAATAAACGTTTATTAACTATTCCTTTCGTCGATTGCACTTATTTTCACCTTAGTAGCTTTTCACGACATGACACGAAAAGAAAATAGAGTGTTACTAAAAGGGAAGGGTCATTTTTGTGTACCATCTATATCTATTCGCTTCCTCCTTGTTTCTAATGGTTGTTTCCACTACAGAAACCTAGATCGACATGTAGTTGAGAAAAGTTAGTATTGAGTAGAACGATATGCAATATTTTGATCTGTGTCTATTTCTATATCAGGGTGTTTCCACGCAGGTCCGCCCGCTTTATACAAAAGTTTTGGCCGGGTGGATCTCACTATGCTCATTAGATAGAGCATGCCAAGTTACATATAAATCGATATTTTTTATGGACAAAAGTTAGGCCGTTGATGGTGAACCAGTGCTTGGAAAAGTACCACCAATTACTTAGTTGGAACCTACAGTGCTCACTTTTTATTTGCTCTAAATATTTTAAAATTTTTCTGAGACAGCCATTC